ATGACATCCATTTTGTTTTTTTCTTCTTCTTCTGTCTTTGTAATGAATGTTTGCACTCTTCTTGGATGATAACCTTGATATCCTCCCAACACTCATCTGGTCTTTGCTCATTTGTGTTCAAGGCCTCAAACCTTGAACCTCAAACCTTCTTCAGATGTTTCTGAAATTCAGGTGGGATAGACTCAAAGTTATATTTTGGTTCCCATGGATTCGGTTTCGTTTTCCTCAGCTTCAGCTTGGACTTGCATATGAGTAGTTGGTGGTCTGTTCCACATTCAGCTCCAGGCCTAGTTTTCACAGCTGATCTCCAGTGGTTCCTTCCACAGATGTAATCAATCTGATTCCTAGGCATACCGTTAGGTAAGATCCATTTGTATAACCTGTGTTTATGTCTTTTAAAAAATGTGTTTGCAATGAATAAGTCATTGATTGTGCAAAATTCAATCATTCTATCTCCAGTAGTATCAGAAAGGTAATGGTGGGAACAGATAATTTAGGACTTTCAAGGCCACTATAATGGCTTTGGCTTTTATTCTGAGTCAGCCAGGAAGTCAGTGGCAGCTTTATAGCAGAAATATGAGATAATTGAACATATTTCAAAGGATGCTGTACTAAAAGTAAACTGAAGCAGTGCTAAGACTAAGGCAGAGGGATGAGTTAGAACTCTTCTTTAATCCATCTGGCTGAGAGATGCAGAACACTTGGATCTGGTAACAGTAGCAGTACTTAGAGGGTCAGATGTCAGATACATTCATGGTAGACTCAGGATTTGCTGGTGGATGAGATGTGGGGTAGGACAGAAAGGAGAGGGTGGAGGGCCAAATTCATGGGCTATTACTGAATGAGGTTTTCCTCCAAGTACTGGAAGTTGGGGGAAGATTACAGAATGAATAAATGTGGCAGCTTGTTTTGGGCTGTGTAAAGTTCTGAAATACCAATTATTTATCCAAATGGAGATATTAAGTAGGTAGCTGGATGTATGAAGTCAGAGTAAGGATGTCCAAGGCGGACATGTAAATTTTGAACTTATCAGCATTAAGGTGTTTTTTTCAAAGTTAGTAAATGAAACTGCTGTAATTGGTGTATTGAATTGCTACACCACTTTCCCATGAATTATGCTTGGATAAATTAAGATTTTGTGTGTGTGTGTGTGTGTGTGTGTGTCCCTTCATAGTGTGTTGACTTTAACTTTGTCACAAGCTTAGGTGAGAAAATGTAAATTGGGTGTATTAGTCCAACCTTAAGGGGATTTGTCTGGTCTTTTTATTCCACTAGCTTGAAATTGAGTGGATTCAGTGGCAGCACTTGAGAATCACAATTATCAGCAAAGAAAAGGAAGAAGTGTCTGTTCTTTAGGGCCAGAAACACCAGCCAGACCAGAACCTATACAAGAGCAACAACAGCAGCCTCAGCAGAGAACCAGAGACCAACATGAGAGAGAGCTATCTTGGAACTGCTGATCCGCAAACCAGAGACACAGGCTTTCACCCAAGCTTGCTGCAGGGCTAAGGGAAGATGTTAAAACTGACATAACTAAGAGAACTTTTTTTTTCCTATCCTCTTCTTTCAT